GTAGTCTAAAAGGTTAGCAGTGTAGCTAATTTGGACGCGAGATTAATACGAGTGACTCTGGTCTCAGTGGTCGCCGCTGTTCGTTAATTGGGGTTAATTCACACCCTGACTAGTTGGGTTAACATAACACGTAATTGTTTTTATGCATGTAGCGGCTAAAACTTCAACTGTAAAGTATCTAGTAATGGTTTAATTTACATATTTAAATATTTGTATTAGCTGTTAAGGAGTGAAATGTGTAAGGAAAGTAGTAAACAATTTCAGCGTTTAGTTTTGCTGAGTCGCATAATCCTGCACGTGATTGCCTGCCATTTCAATTTGAAGTAAAAATACCGTTGTAACAAGTCGTAAATCGCGAGAGGGTCATTTCAAGTGGTCTTTCGCTTATCTGCTACATAAGAATATGTCTTCAGTAAAAAGTTCAAGTGAAATAATTTTGGAAGACGCAATGGGTTTCTAGGACAAATATTTTTCAAGTTTCCACAGTTTCTGTTTTATATGTTTTCAATGTCGCATATCAGTTTTTCAGGATTGGTGAAAATATGAGAAATACGTGTAATATAAGTAGAAAAATTGCCCAATAAACTTTTAAAGCGCTTTTTACTGATCGATCCTATTTTACAATTGTTGTTCGTGAATTTTTTATTTGTATTATCTTTTTTCCGTTTAAGGGTAAGTTAAGATTGAAATTTATCTCTGAAAAAGATCCATTGTAAGTAAGAAAATTCGATCTTTTAAGGACTACATAGAATATAAACAGAATAAAATATAGAATTCATAATCGAACCATCGACTTGTTACACAAACAGAATTAGGTTTCCTTGAAAATGTCACAAAAATTGGACGAAACGTTGGATGCTATACAGTTGGAAAACTAAATATATTATTTCTGATCTAGTTCAGATTATTGTCACGTTATTCTACCAAAACGGCTGCTACATACATGTGTATATACCGATTCATTTCTGAACTGTTTTAACATAATGTCAACACTTTGCGAGAAAGAATGACTGAAGCTGTAAATATTGAAAACAATTTGGTGTGCCAAAGATTTACGACTTCTTTTTGAAGAAGCCGTATGTAACAGCTGCTTGATGTTTTCCCTGCTATGAATTTGAATCCGCTGAAAGACTTATCATTGTTGATTGAAACAACAACTATTGTAATAAGCGATATTTATTTCTTCTTCAATCCGTTTAGACACAGATACAAATGATTTTATAAGCAAACTTTAATGTAGTCAGGCCGGCCTTTGAATCGTAAAATCAGCGACTGAGTAAATAAAAATTTATAAAATGCATAAATTAATTTATATTTTAAAATTAATAACAGAAGACTTTATTATTAATATTGAGTGCACAACAAATTTAATAAGACAAGTTTTACTGCTTAATAAATATCTACTTTAATTAATCTTTCAAATTATCGAAAAATGCTGTCAAGTGTAACTTGAAATTACCGTATTTTCCCTTGATGGGTAATGATTTGCAACAATCGGAAATTTAAAGCAGTTAAGGGATAAAAAGCTTTTTATTTCATCGTTGTCAATAAAAGGGTTTCGTTATTAATTATTTAGTAGCGCGGAGATATAATTTTTACGGATTTTCATTTAAATTGTGCGTAATTTTTCGTATAATTTGAAAAACAGAATTTACACTTTGCTGAAAATTAAAAAAGGTTTCTCAATATAGGTACATTAGTAAATACACATTAAAAGTAATTGCTATTGGAAATTCTTCAGAGGGAATTACAATACTTAGACATAAATTAACTGGTGAAATTCCTTATCGGTAAATTTCTGAGAAGAATCGACCTAAAGCTGTTGTTACGCGGTGGGAACATAAAAAGTAATGGATTGAACTCCATCCTGTTTCCCCTTCCAGAAACGCTTTGAAATTTGGGAATTGCAAATCACGTATTTCCGTTAAAGTGGTTGGTAATTAATTAAATTTAAATCATCTAACCGAAAAAAGCTAAAAAAAAGTGAAATAGATGGAAACCGTTTCGTCCCCCATACTCTTTATTCTAAAAAATGAGAGAAGAATGGTACAGACATTTTAAAAGTACTTATGAACCTGTCGATATTAGATATTTGTAGAATATAGTTTTGGAATACCTACCATATTACTTATTACTTACAAAATAAAAGCATATTGACAAAACAGTATTGTGTGAAAATAAAAAAAAAAAGAAAACAAAAGTACTGGTATGCAAGGGAAGAAAAAGTAGGGAAAGAGGGAATATAAAGAACAAGAAGTGGCTGATGTTTGGTATCTAAAAAGTCAAATAATTCAGGATGGAAGGAGCAGCAATAAAATAAAGGATACCGAAGGGTTGAGTCGCAAAACAAAAACAAAAAGAACTTACTTCGACGGTGGATGCAGCGGAAAAGAAAAGGTTGGAAGAGAATACCGTTGGAAGAGAAAGTTAGAAATAAGGAGATATTAGAAACAGTAGAATATAGGACTCTACGGAAATCAATAAGAAATAGGAGAGAAGTAGGAGAGATAGGTTGGTTGAAGGGCTAGTTACAACAGATATATTAGAAGCAGAAACAGGAGTTAATATGAGAAAAGTAGGTGGTCCGAGATTAGATTATTGTTTACAAACAGTTAAGAATGTGAGATGATCTAGTTTTACGGAAATGCGAAGATTGGCTCAGGATAAGAAAGAGAGGAGGTACGCGTCCAACTTAGGACTGACGAATTTATGATTATAATTGCTATTATTAGGTCAAATCAGAATATTAGATGTTGTATTGGTCTTAATAACTGCCGCATGCAGATCCATATTGTACAGAACAATTGACACATCCATATCATAACAATTGAACAGCTTAGCATTCGATCGTGATAATGACGTCGCATCAGCCCTTTAATGTGCCATACGACTGAGGGAGATTGCAAAGTGACATAATTACTTGTGTGTGCTCTGTACACAATGCACGCCAATTGCAATCGAATGGTAAATAACACGCCTTTGAGGTCATGCAAATGCAATTTGCTCATCAAGAATCTAAAAATGAGTCCATTAATATGGCTACCTATCCCATAGCATACATTAATGAAAAGTTAATTTTAACATGGTGCATATTTTGCGAAAGTTACTTAATTTGTTAATAATATTCATTGTAACTTGACTTAGCTCTTGGTGAAACATTCTTTAAATAATTAATGAAATAAAATAAAAACACTTGGTTTTGTTTCACTATTTTTTATTTAATTCTCTAACATATGTTTCGGCTGTTATGCCATTATCAAAGAGTTATATTTTAAACTTTAATATTATTTTATTTCATGAATTATTTATTTTGTTAACTTGAAAATATTGTTTTTCTAGCTGTATTCAAGTACCAAGTTAACTTCAACAACAGAAGATATTTTTTGTTAGTTAATATTAAGATGAGAGACATAAGGGAGTTCAGGGCATGATAATAAGGACTGAAGATGTATGGGATTCAGGCTTCTATAATTAATATTTCGTTGTTGGGGTCGACTTTACGGTTTTCTCAGACACGTTCGGGGATTAGACAATTAATTTTTTACGTTGCCGAGTTGTAACGAATAGAGTTTCTCACAGTTTCAACTACGTGTTCATTTTTATTCCACCTTTTATTTGATAAATAATTTTTACTGATGTCGATGTTTGTTTTCTTCTACTCTTGTTGGTTCCTGGGTTATTAATTAGTTTTATTATTTCAATCGAAATACATTGATTAATGTTCATCATTTATCATCCGTTTTGTAGTATATGTAGGTATATCAAGTTTTAATAAGCTGTATTCCGAAAGCATGTCTACAGGAATGTCCCGAGAGACAACACTTAATGAAAATGAATGGACTTATGACTCTCTATCTGCGAATTAGATCTCTAAAGGCTTGTAAATTCGTTTTTAACGGCTCTACGCCTAAGCGGACAAGAAATGATCATCAATTTTATGGACACATTAAATAAAAAGTCACCTCTGTTTAACATTACCATACGTAATCGTTTCAAAAATAGTAAGACATTGTCGCAAGTATGCGCTAAAATGTTTTTTTTCCTCTAAAGAACTGTAATTCAATTACAAAAAGGAATGAAACTTTTATAAATTAAATCTTACAGGAAACTGCAGGCAAAATTCTAGATGATGGGAGATGTTGTGAGTAAAATCATTGGTACTAATTGTTGCATTTGTTTCAGATCTAGTAAGGGTCGTGTCATGCCTCTGAAATACTGCCGATCGATGGGGTAAGTTTGCTTGTAGTTTATTTAAACATTATCGAATGGTTTATATTAAATGTTGCGAATTCATGCTTGTACAATCACTCGCACGGATTCCTCCGGCTGTTTTGTGGTCTACTCTGTCATATGTTCCGTCTATTATGGAATATACCAACCGCAATGTAATGTACGAAACATACTGCCACCTAAAACAACGGAAATTGGAATTTGGCTCTTTAAATTATCAGTCATGTATAATATGCATACGTAGGTAGTGCTTGCAGGTAGAAAATCGTGAATATTTCATGGTAATAATTCAGGATTTTTAGGGAATCACGGCGATAACATCAGAACGTAGAATCGTAAAAATCACTCGTGTCAGAAGATAGTCAATTTATCTTCCTTGTGTAATACTATATATTTTTCCCGTATCTCTAAATATTTATATAGGTACACATACAATTTGATTGAAATGGTTTAACATTTCTAGAATCCATAATAACATTTTTGGATAACAACGGAAATCACTGTTACTTCATTGTCAATAAATAATATGATGAATTGTAAAATAACATTAATTTGCATTATCTACGGAACCCAATGAAATTAAAGAAGACCTTGGTCAACTTCCACTATTACAAAATACATTATTTCTCGATATTTCTTTTGCGGAATTTTAACTGAAACTTATACAATGTATTGCATTAATTAACACTCTACGCTATATTATTAGGTATATAATTTGTTCAGGTAATCGTTCAGCTAGCAACAACGTAAAGAGTAGTAGCACAACTTACCAATTAATCTTCAACGATTGAACTATCTATTATTTCACAAAATTGTTTTATAAGTATATTAACTTAGTCTTCCAAATCAATTTTCTTGAAAAGTTACTTCTGTAATAACAATAACCATGCACAGACTGTTTATTTCATGAGCAATAATTTCGCACTTTGGGTATGTGATAACAACGAAGTTTTAGGAACTTTTTTACTTGATCAAAACCGCGTCGCGTTACGCTGAATGCACGGCGTCGGGACGCTGCCGTCGTCGAGATACAACTGCGCCTACTGCGACTTTGCGTTCTTCGGACGATGCGTTCTGGACTTTTGCAAGCAAGCGCAAAACATGTAACTTTCTGCCTAATTATTCCTTTAAATTTTATTACTCATAAACTTTTAATCTGTATATTGAAAACGCTATAAACATCGTTAAAGACAGGACAACCTTAGGGGTAGATTAACAAGGGCAAAAGGTTAGTGTGTTTAGATTTGTAGATCATATAGCAGCATTATCACATCAGGAGAAGTTAGAGATAAGCTTAGATAAATTGAAAGCGGTGTTGACAAAGTAGTAGGGTTTGAAGATAAATAAAAATACAACAAAAATATTGAAAGAGAAAGTACGGAAAGACAGAATATAAAGGCATCAGGGGAAAAATTAGAAGAAGTGACTGATTTTTGGTATGTAGGAAGTAGTATAATTCAGGATGGAAGGAGTAGATATATATTCAGTAAAACAAAGAATAGCGCAATGTGGAGTCGCCTTCAACAAAAACTAGACGCTTCTAGAAATTCGAAAAAGATAGTTGAAGGTGTATATCTTGAGCACGGCACTGTATGGGTACGAAACGTGAATGGTTGGCGCGGCAGAAAAATATGGTTTTATAGACGATGATAAGGATGCCGTGCATAGAGAAGGTTAGGTTAGGAAATAAGGAAGTGTTAGAAAGAGCGGAGAGCAAAGGGTGTTATGAAAATCAATAAGAAATAGGCAAGATCGAATACCTTCCTAGGCATGAAGGGTTAATTAGAGACATATCAGAAGCAGAAACGTAAGATGTTCTAGTTTTAAGGAAATGCGAAGATTATTATCTTAGCATAAGAAAGAACTGGAGTGCGTGTCCAACAGTCGTAGGACTGACGATTTTATGGTTATGGCGATAACTCATAAACTTAATTACTATTTGCAAACTTCTATTAGAAATATTGGAAAATCATTAGAGCTGTCGTAAGTCATGAATATACCGATCTTTTCTTGTCATGTATTGAAAACTAAAGCAGGATCAAAAATAAGATACAGTATGGTATAAGGGGCAAGATGAACAATCTCAGAAATTTTCTTGTTAAATTCTCATTTTGGAATTAACGCAAAGCAAAAGAAAATGGTCACGATAGCAAAAATATCGTACTGTCGTATCTTGCAGTAGTCCTGGAAATCATATTTTAACAAAAAGACTCCCCCTGGTTAACACAAATCCTGTTCACTGATGCATACATGTGTTTCCCCCACTTTGTTCTGGCATTAGAACAGGGTGAAACATGTGTTGGCAGTGAACAGGTTTTATGGTAACTATAATAAGGTGAGGCTCTTCTTGGATTATTTATTCGTTTATCACACTATCTATTTTATACTTTGAATGTTTATAAAATAAGTGAGTTTAATTCGGAAAGCATGTTTTAGGAGCAGAATTTAATTGAATAATCAATTTAATAAGATTATCTTCGAAAGTTTGTGAAGGGCGTATTTTAAGTTTAAAATAGCAAAAGTAGTGACTGTTGTTGAGACGGAGCTTAAGACTGTATTAGGTAAGTGTTATAACTAAATTCATTTCTGATGTCGACCGTCCAACAACATGGTTCAGTTATTAAAGCAATTAAATCTAGCAAGCCGTGAACTAATTACTTAATACAGATTGAGGCAAGAGAAGCGTTTCGCTAAAATAGGGCTTTTCTACGGTTATATAACAAATTATTTTTGGAACCGCCTCCGTTCACGATAATATCAATTAATGTGGTTTGCTAAAACGGCGTAAAATCCCCTTGATACAGGGTGATATTTAAGTTGTTCATCATCATCAGAAGGTCGTCAGTCCTAAGACTGGTTGGACACGCACCTCCACTCCTTCCTATCCTGAGCTAATCTTGGAATTTCCTTATTTCTTATTGACTTCTATAGAGTCCTCTGTTCTCCTATTCTTTCTAATACCTGTTCATTTCTAACCTTCTCTGTCCACTCGCCTGTAACACCACATTTCGAAAGCTTCTAACATTTTCTTTTCCGCCGCGCTCACTGTCCATGTTTCGCACCCGTACAGCGCCGCGCTCCAAACATACACCTTTAACAACCTTTTTTTGAAATTCTAAATTAACCGTTCGCCAGCATAGAAATGACTTCTTTTTATTGAAGGCGATATGACCCTGCGCCATCCTCTGTTTTATATCCCTACTACTTCTTCCGTTACCTAGTGTAATTTTAACCGAAACATACAACAACTGCGTGGTGGAAAATTTAAAAGAAAAACGACAATAGAGATTGGAAATGTAGATCGCAAAGGGAAGCATTTAAGCAGCCTTCACCTTCAGCAAGATACATAGACATACGATAGATCTCGCGTTGCGTCGACATTCGTTTTTTTTTGGATGGTTTTTTGGATAGGTCACTGTGCATTTTACTTTCAAATTTGTAAGCGAAAATAAATTTAACCCGAACGTTTTCATTGTTAATCGGACCGATCTGGAAAAGAATAAAAAAAATCTTTAAAAGGCCTCTTGAGGTTTCTCTTCTAGAAGGCATCAGTGATTTATTTTATTATTTCATGCAGAACAAAACTAATTTGCTGAACTTGAACTTCGAACTTCAAGACTAATGTTGCCATTGATTTTTCTTGAATAAATACTATTATCAACGTTATTCTCCAATAATGGAACAACTGATTTTGTAGCACAAGGTGATTTTGAGATAGGGCGAAAACGACACAATTAGGGTTGCCACCGGTACTTTATTATAAAGTATTGTACTCTATTTCGACTGTGCGTACGTTATACTTTACAAGACACATAAAGTACGCAAAAATACTTTTATTTAAGGCCTTAAGTAAACATCGTAATTTTGTAAGCGATTATTCGAAATTCAGAGTACTTTTACATCAATAATTTTGCACGGAAAAATAGCAAGCCATATTTACGGAACAACCTGATTTCCCAAATCTGTTCAAACTAGTGTCACTTTGGCTGTCCGTTCCGGCCACTTCAGCATTTACAGAAAGAGTATTCTCTGTTATGAACGCAAAGTGGCGGGACGACAGGAATAAAGCTTCATTGAAACTAATTAAAAATGAACTTTGAGTTTACTTAGATCTCTGTTTGCCATATTTAGAGGCTATTAATGTATTTAAGAGTGACAGAAATTTCTTACTGGCTGCTAGGTGTAACAAAAAATATATTTAAAAACAAAAAATAAAATACTTTATTTTTATGCTGAGTACTTTTTTACTTTGAACCTTTTAGTCGAGAAATACCTTATGCAATGCCTGACCTTCTTAGAACTTATTATTATGAATTTCTAATAAAGTTAAAGTTTAGAGTAAAACCTAGCGCGCCTTATCGTTTTAAAATCACTTAAGGGAAAGTGATATTTCACTAACTTTATACTGTCAAAGAATGTGTCAACAAACATGTGTTACTGTTTTCCATTTTCATAGAACGAAAGATTTTCATTCCAAGCAGATAACACTAATGCTGATTTTATTAAGTTATTCTGGGATTAATCATAATGTGTTTTAGTTTTCTATATTCTGTCACAATTTTTGATTAAGTACAAAACTAATTCGTCGAAGATTAAATTATGTATTAAGCCATGAGGCATGTCCCAAAGGTCTGATTAATAATAAGATCATAAAGGGTTAATTAAATGTTCTCTAATTTTACCCTCATCTTGCCATCTGAACAGGCGATTTGCTGCTTTATTTATTACGTTGGTTAACGGGGGAAGAAAACCACCAATAAGCAAAAGCTTTTCCGAAATGCAGCTGAATGCGTTGGTTGCAACGGCGTTGATGAATGAGATGATAAATTACAAGTTTATCGCAGTGAAGATTATGTTTCCAGGCCATTGCCTGTGCACTGTCAGCCATCTCATCGTCAGTGTACTAAAGTGTCGCACCATTGAAAAACAATTGCAAACGTAATATTTTATGTATATTTGTGTTACGTATAATTTGCAAGTAAGCAATAAATTTTATGCTAAAGTTTCCGTTTCGATACGAAGCTCTCTGGTGTATGAACGAAATAACGATGCGAAAGCAGTTTATTACTATTAAAGCTTTCCATGAAAACCTAAAGACTGTGTAATAATGTTAATCATTATAGTTTAATATCGAAAAGTATAGGACATCAAGGCATTACTTCTGCTTACTTAAAATTAGTATAGAACACCTTTATCTTCTTGGCCGATAAGTCAGCGCTGCGTTTTATTTTTTTTGTTTCTTATTTTCGTTTTATGAAATTTTTAAATTCCTTAAATGTCTAAGTCTATCCTATAAATTCTAACCTTTTGAAAACCTATACAGTAAAAGCTCTTTATTCGCGGGGTATACGTTCCGTAAATATTCCCCGAATACAGAAACTGTGGATGGTAATTAGTATGGAATCATAGGGGATACGTTCCAAGTTTCCAAAATAAAACCAAATATGTATCCAAATAGAATCAATGTTTTGATAAATTTTAAATTAAAATTAATCGTTATAATCAACTTTAGGCAAGAGTTAATTTTGAAATTAGTCCACTAGGTTACATCTTTTATAAAAGTCGCCTCGGCATGAGCCAATAGTACTCAAAAAATGCTGATACATTGAAAAATAACACCGAATCCATTTCTACCCAGTTAAATTTTTTATAGAAGCCGCTTCGACACTTATTAACTGTAGATACTCAAAAAATCAGTAGTACACGCGCCGTAAAATAAAAACATGCTTCTCGGTTCTAGATTTCATGAGTTTAATATTTGGAACAGAGGTTTAGAATATTGTAGTAAGGTAGATAAGGCTTGGTTCTAAAGCATGTCGAAGGGTATTTTTTAATTTTTTAATTTCTATTGAAAATAGGTGTACTACAAGAAGTATCAACTTTAAGCACTTTTAAAAGCTTTTAATGGCCATATTATTGAAAATTAAAAACGTACCGACTTAGTGTGAACCTTTATCTGTTACCATACAAAAA